TTGCGAAGCTGCAGGGCATATCAAGTGCAAATTGGCGGTGCCAAGTGGGCGGAGCGGGATACGAGACGAGTGAAATTGAGTGATGACAGCGTAAAAGCCGACACGTTGGTTACTAAATAGCGGTAAAGAGGCCGATCGGCGGCAACTGCGCTCAATTTACCTCAAAAGACATTGTCAATCTTCTCCGTCTGATCGAAATCGTACGCATTGCCAAATGGCCTATTCAGATAATTTTTGAGCAGTTGCTCACTCGAAACGTACGTGGCCGCGGTCTGCAGACCAGTCTTCTCGGGCGACAAGCGTTCAGCAAGCTCTTCCGCCAGTTCGACTTCCATCGAATTTCGATACCATGGCGCGAAGTGTACTGTGAAAAGAAGTCAGTTGAAAGAACCTCAGACCAGCAAGGAACTTACTCATCGCGAGCATCACTCTCGGATCTTCGCTCAGGTTGGGCTTCCCTCCGTGCCAGAGTCTCAGATCGCGAACGATCATGCTACCCTTCTTCACGACCGGCTGAGTGGGTGGCCGAACCTCGCGACGAGCATCGAGCAAATGCTGCTTGATCCTTCCGCTGGCACGATCGCCATGTTCGCCTTCTTGATCGGCAATAGTGGTACCTTGATGTGTACCGAGCCAGATCTCTGTGGAGCCGTTCTCTGGCGTCATGGTCACGAGAGGAACGTTTACCACGAGGGCGAAAGGGATTGAGGGGTGATCAAAATCTGCATCATTGTGGATCGGCTGCGAGGCTGGTGGCGATGACGCAGTTGGTGGTAGTGCGGTGTTGCCAGAAATGAAGCGCAATGAAGGCCTAGGACCAAGCGTGGTTGAAGTGACTTGCGTCACAATGGGATCTAATCAAAGGTTAGTGTGTGTTTAGAGCGTGGCAGGATTTGCTACAATAGACACGTACTGGCGTAGATTTCGTCACTGAACCACTCCTGGGTCATGGGCGGATCTTGTTGAATGTTTCCTTTGTTATAGTTGAAGGGGCTGTCCTTTCTTCCCTGCAATTCGAGTGCATCCTGGACCATCTTCTTGTTCAATCGGTCCAAGACTGCATGGTCAATCATGTCTTCCAACACCACGAGGCCATCGCGAGAGAGCGCTCTGGTAGCGATCTCGAGGTTGCGTTGATTGAGCTCTCCAGCTTTGACTTCAGACGCGGAAGGCACAATGGAGATAGGTGTTGACGAAAGGCGCGGAGACATGGTGGGACGGTGGATGACGCAATGGTCAAGACTGGGATCGTACAAGGAGATGTGTACAACGTGATCGCTTCAAGTGCCACGGTACTAAGCTGAACAGTCTCAGACGTTGTGAGCTTTATATGCTATAACGATCTGGAACATGTAGCGGAACAGACGAAAGCGGTATGGCGAGGCGCTAAACCCAGTACAGGACTGCAGCCGTCTGTGGAGAACCTGGTCACAGGCTGCATGTCGTCGTGAGACGCATGGTGCGGGGAGCTTACTCTATGCTTCGAGTACACCAAGAGAGGGACAAGACGGCACCTCCACTTACGCGGGGAGTAGTCGACGGCGTGTGTTGATGGAGTAGACGATCCGACGCTCTTGGTTTGAAGCTGGAAACGTTTTCCATCAACGCGAGGTCACGCGCCGTCGGGGGTGTCGGCGGCATTTCGATAGTGTCGTCGGCCAGGGATGGGTGGTCAGCGGAGGCACAGCACAACGTCTTCGCCTTGCATCGCTGTGCTCCTGCGTGTTTGCGGATTCAATGTCGAGGTCTCGAATGGGGTTTGTATCGAGTGTCGCACTGCGCCAAGACAGGTCCCTCATGTGCGCGTAATTACGTACAGTGCGTGCCGTCCACCGTCTAGGCAGACATTGGGAGCGCATGGAACTATACAAACGAAGAAGGCCAGGACAGAAGAGGATTTAGGCAGGCACCGTGGCCCGGAGTCGCGAATCACAGCGCTGGCAGGCGGACGGTTGACCGGGATGGAGTGAGGAGAGGTGCGGAAAGCGGCATGACGCGAACCAAGGCAAGAAGCCAGGGCCACCATCCCTCCACATTGTTTCCAGCGCCGGGTCCACCAACTCACCAACACACTCTAAACCGCCGCACTGTTTCAGCGAATATAGCAGTTATTGTGTACTTCTTTTCTGTACACGTTTCCCTTGCAGGATTATCGCACACGTCTTCCATACCTTTAATCGTCACCACGCGCCTCTACCGCGCTCCTGCGACCATCGCAGTCCACGGACCTCCATCGAACCACGGATACTATCAGCACCGCCCGTCGATCCGCATAAACAAGGCTCTATACTTCTACCGCCATTGGTAACCGGCAGTCTTCGAGCAACATACCAGCTTGACACTTTACGCATACGGCGCACCCGCCCATCACACGACACATACCACATCTACACACATCGCCATTATGCCGTCGCAACGTCGCATGAGGTTCTTTGGCATCCTCATTGTCGTCACAGTCGTCGTCTTGTTCTACATGTCAAGAGGAGCCCACCAAACACAAACATCCGACTTTTACACCAAAACCCAACAAGCCTTACAAGAAAAAGAATACGCAGAAGCGGCGAAGCAGCGCGATGCAGAGAGCGTCGGGTCGCGACTCAAAGCCGCCGAAGAGCAGGCGAAGAAGAACGCCGAGGACAAGTACACAGACCACAAAGTTAAGGTGGAAGGGCAGGACCAGAAGAGTGTCGCCGGCCGCGTCAAGATGGACGGCGACAGGGTCCCTGGCGTCGCGCAACAGGGCGGGAAGCCGCGCGATCAAGCAGCCATGATGGAGCATGAGACGCTTGAGGACCACGAAGTCGAGATGGAGCTCAATGCCATTTTGAAGAAGAGTCCAAGTACGTTACTCCTCGCTCATTTGAGCCCTGCGCAGTCACTAACTTATTGTAGTGATCATCTTCTCAAAATCCTACTGCCCCTTCTCGAAGAAAGCGAAACACATCCTGCTCGAGAAATACAACATCAAGCCCGAACCCTACGTCGTCGAACTCGATAAGAGCCCAATCGGCCAACAACTACAAGCCTTCCTGCACAAGTCGACAGGCCGACGAACGGTGCCTAACATCCTGCTCATGGGCAAGAGCATAGGAGGCGGCGATGACATCGAGGAGCTCGACCAGACCGACACTCTCGTAGCGAAGGTCAAGGAGATTGGCGGCAGCCGCATCACCGAGGTTGAGCATCGCGGCGCCCGTCCGGAGATGCGACGGAAGATGAGGGCGTAGACAACTCTTCGCTGTTTTCTCCTGCTCTTAGTATACTTGCAGGTATTTCTTGCGGTGTCTCTTGGGCCCGACATGCTACCTAGTGCATGTTTTCAGGAAGGTAGGATACCCAGGATATTTGTATGGATGGACATCAGATCTCGATGGTCTGCGTATTGCGATGGATATACCCTTTATAGTTTCAATATCTTGTACCGTTGGTCTCAGTCGTACGTCTTTCCTGGCCCAGTTTCCGTTTAATCGTTGCAATCTGTCGTTGCCTACCCGCTGAGAGAGGGCTGCCCTTTCCTCGCACAATGCTCTTTCTCTCACCTTAGACGCTCCTGCCGCTTTGCATACGATAAGCCATGTGCGAAGTAAGAGCCATTTCTCAACAATCTCTCACCTGAATGCGCCTTCCATTCTCAAGCCTAAAACAGCTGTTCTTCCACCCTTCTTCGTCTTTGTCTACACGTAATTTCAAACCATCGCGATCTTGTCTTTCCATTCCGAAGCCACACTCTGAAAACGTAAGTATCAGCTGGTAGCCGTTCCTACGCAAATTGCTGACATCATAAGGCTGTCAAGATGTGCCTCTACTGGAAGAAGCTGCACACATGTGGCCACCTCTCTGATCGCCCGTACATCGAGATGTGCCGTCCGGGCTTTCTCTCCAACAACGTGTGCCCCGACATTAGCGATGACGACAAGCCTCGCCCATCGCACTTCCCATGTTACCCCTGCATCAAGCTCGAGGCCCGCGCTGAGACTGAAGCCCAAGTCCGGTTCGAGCAGCACGAGTTTGCCAAGGCCTACGAAGCTCGCGAGCGCGCAGTGAGGGAGAGGCAGGCAGCGGAACTGAGGGCCAAGGAGGAGCGCGTCCGACGTGAGGCTCGCGACAAGGCCGCACGGGAGCGAGAAGCGGAACAGCGTGCGAAGCGCGAGAAAGAGGAAGCTGAGCGCAAGGCCAAGAAAGAGGGGGGTGCCTGGATCGAGACCTCGGTTGGAAAGAAGCCAAAAGGCAAGAGGAACGGCGGTGGCAGTGGCCCTGCCAACGCTCCGGTAACACCGTTGAACACCGTATCGACCATCAAGATGGCTGCCGCACCCAAGAACATCAAAGACCTCAATGGAGGCGCTGGAGGTGGTGAGAGGATGAGTCCCAAGAAGGGTCGTGTTGATCCCGGTGGTAGAGCTGGTACTTGGGGCCCTAAGAAGATCTTGAGCAGGCAAGAGAACGTCGCTGAGGTTAACACTTCCGCAAGAAAGTGAGATTGGGGGTGTGCAGGACGAAAGTACGTGGTCTTGACAGCATGCTAGGTGTCAGGTTCGTCATCTGTTGCGTCATGCAACTTGCCAGATCTTAAAAGTTATCATTTTGTTCACGTTCTTGCCTCACCTCATGCTAGGAAAAAGATGCGTTTTTCTTGGTAAGAGGTTGCCTCATAACCCTCACCGATTTGTTTGCCGGTCTGATATTTGTTCTGAAGGGCACGGTGACTTGCCTCTAGGAGAGCAGTCGCATTCGAGGATATTGTCTTGGCACTCAACATGTGCTCGCGTGCCCGTGTGCTCGCGTGCCCTGGGCGGTTTCTCGGTACCGAGTCTAAAACGGCAGTCACCGTGAGAGTGACTGAGGAAGGCACGCCCACGCGAGAACACTTTCGACCACCGATATCGTCCCACACCGCTACGTTTATCTATCGCACCTCATCGCTTTGCAGCCTTCAGCATCTTCAACCCACGACGACCTACAGCACCCGCCCGAGAAGCACCTCTCTCACGCTAGTCACTATGACCTCAGAAACAGACTCCAGCAACCCGAAGGCACCCGAATTGGCCGACCGACCATCGTCCATGGCCGCAGCAGCCTTCCTAGGAATCGCCTGGTTTATCTGCATAGAGCTTAATATCCGCCTGCTCTACAGGGCAACACGTCGCAGCCTTTATTTCTGGAGCTGCTTGCTCTGCAGTTGGGGTCTTATTATCCACGGCATCTCGATCGTCCTAGCCAACTTCAACAAGTGGACTTCGTACTCGGCCATCGTCTTCATCTACTTATCATGGCTCGTCTTCGTCGTCGCCCAGTCTTTTGTTCTCTACTCACGCCTCGGCCTCGTGTGGAGAAACACGAAGAAAGATCGCTATATTCTCTACATGATCACTGCTAACTCGGTCATCTTTGGCCTTACCACAGTCTTGTTCGGGATGATTGCTGCACGTCTCACGTCGCAAGCAACCGTACCATACTAATTGATCGTAGCGCCACCCACGCTTCAGCGCACGGCTCGAGAAGGCCAACCTGATCTGGGACAAAGTGCAAGTCGGCGCTTTCTTCACCCAAGAATGCATTATCGGAATGCTATACATCTGGCAAACATCGAAGTACTTCCAGAGCCTCGAGCTCCTCGGCAATAGTCGCCGCACCACTCGAGACAACCTCCGCAATCTCATCGCTGTCAACGTCCTCATAATCATGCTCGATGCCAGCGTTCTGGGCTTGGCCTATAGCGGTCGCTTCTTCATGCAGGGCTTCTATAAGGTCGCTGTATATGCCGTCAAGCTGCGCACGGAATTCACGATCTTGAACCAGCTGAGGCAGGCGCTTGCGGGTGGCTCGACAGGTGCGTCGGGATTTGCTGTGCAGACCGACCAGAGACCTATCGTGATGGCTCCTCTGAAGTCAAACGACGTGGTGGAGGTGGTTGAATAAGAAGACTGGGAAGGTGGACAGGATGGGCAGAGATACGGGAAGGGTGATTGGATATATAGCATGGGTCGGAGTTATTCGGCGAGGCCATATGTCTTTCTTCATCTTGCATCGCGTGTAGCATGAATCAATACAGCGATTATGCAACACATCTTCGGGTTATTCACGATAGCCAGATAGTTCTCAGTGTGTTCGATGCGTTTACAGAATAGATTCAAGTATCTTGAAGTACTACTGGCTGAATCATAACACTGTTTTCGACCTGCTCACATCTACCTCGAAACCTCCTAGCACATCCGACTCAAACACAATCATGCCTCAATGATACTCTGAGTCGCCACAGAAGACGATGTCTCCTCCTCTTCAAACCCTGGGCTCTCTTCTTTCAAGGAGAAATGAGGCGGACGTGTCTTCGACTCCAACTCGGTCCATTCCGCAGCCTCAGTCATCTCTTGCTCGGATAAATCTCCTCGGATATCTGCGACCGCATCTTCTGTATCGACGAGATGCTTGATGTGGAAGATTACCTGGAGTGAGTGGTTTCGATCCCAGTCGCCATGTAGTCCCTTCTTGGCGTGCACCTTTGCTACTGGTAGCCAGAAGTCCTGCCACCTTTTGGAGCTCATGAAGGCGCTAAGTTTGATAAACTCGAACGCTTCTGGGTCTGAGTGGTAATAGCAAAGACTTTTCAACTCGCCCACATCTTCAGATCTGGCTCTGCTGAAGAATGTTGCTGGTAGGTGCTGACACCAGTGCTGCACGATATTCTCATCTTTGAAGAAATGGTTAAGAGGCCCTAACATCTCTTCACGGTCGTCTTCCGAAAGATTCAGGGCTTCGACATTGTCACTCGGTAAAGTGCCTGCGAGGTGGGTGTACCAGTGAGTAGCGGCGTACCTCCGAAACGCTTCGGCCGCTTCAGTCAAAGGTTCGCTTTGAGGCTCAGCGAAACTAAGAAAGCATTGCTGTAGTAGGCGAAAATGTAGCTCAGCGCTGTTGAAGACAGGGGCGTCTTTCACCCTCCCGTTGAGAGATTTGTCGCGGTGTTGAAGAAAATACTCAGTGAGCGATGGGTGCGCAAAAGTAACAGTCGTCGTGGAAGGTGTGCACGTAAGCCCAAAAGCGCGTGCAGGATCGTGGATCTTGAGATGACTGAGAGTGATCCCATCCTCTTGTTCGAGATCAAACAGAGGAGTGAAGTTGTCGCGTATTCTTTCACCGAGAGAGGTGCCCGTGCGGCCGGTCAGCGAGGTCTCGAACAACATGCGATCGAGACTTGCAAGGGTGCAGGTGTGGCCAGTGTGTCGGTTGTGTGTTAGGAGTAATATGATCCAAGACAGCTCTTCACGCTCTTCTCGTGTAAGTACATTGCTGTAGACCTGCTCTTCTCGTGTAAGTACATTGCTGTAGACCTGCAACAACAATGGGACCAGTTCCATAGCATCATCCGGCGCAGTCTCCAGGCAAGCAGTGATATTAGATGTAGTGGGTTGCCGTTTGACGATCTCGAACATCAAGTCTGCCCATAGAAACCTGCCTGAGGCCTTGGATAGAACGTTCTCTCCGATGGAGATTGGCCTTGTTTCATCGGCTAGCAAGGGAAGGCGATGTACGTCACAGTATGTGATCCATTTCTGTGGGTCTTGTCCCTCGAGGTGGGTGGTTTCTGAGTTGATAGAGGAAGAGTGGTTCATGGTTCAACGATTTAGTTTAAGTTAATGGGTCGTTGTGTCTATGTAGGTAGGTATGTTGCTGGTGTTTACTGAAGATTGTAGAAGGTGTGGCGTATTCAGGTATTGGTTGTATGTGTGCGTTGTGTTCTAGAGAGCTCAGTATTTCGCGGAGCAAGGGTGCTTACATAGACCGGTAAGCCTGAGGACATTCAACGTCTAGACTGTCAGCTGCACGTTGGTAACATGTAGATGTGTCCAAAGAATGACCGTGAATAACAAGCGTTGATCGGGGAATGGAATCAGAAAACGCTCATAGGAAATCTGCGGTATCCATGGAAGCAACATGGAAAGCGTTAGTCAAACACGTATAACCTATCCTTGAAGCGTACAGCAGCGGTCGCAAATTTCTCCAGAAGGTATGAATTCTCAGCTTTTGTATAGATACCGTTTGATTAGCTCTTCAATCCCGAAGGCTGCTTGGGTAATGGCGAACTGTGACATTGACAACGACCTCTGCTGGGCGTTTGAACGGCAGATGTGAGCCGAGTGCGTCCTGGCGCGCTCGGTGATGAGACAACGCTTAGCCGGAGAGCTAACAATGACCTCCATACGAGTCTTTAGGGGAGTCATTTCGTGTCAGTCGCACTCAAGCTACCTAGATAGTGGTGGATACAATGAGAAAAGTCATCAATCGTGACGTGAGGATGTGTGCAGGTAACCGAGGCGGGCCATGCGATCACTTCAATGTTTCGTGTGGCGTTATCGGGCTCTACACTAAACTACATATGGAAAGGGCAGTCGCCGATAACGAACCTAGGATCTCGAAAAACTGGGGAGGGCGGGTCATGGCAAAAAGAGATCTCGGTACCAGCGCCAGTCTTGTGGATGGCGAGATTGAGATTGGTAGTGGAGCTCCGCGGTGATATTGGAGAGTGGAGAGGAGTTTGCAGCAAGCGTGCCAGAAAATGACGGTGCAGCTGCTCCTCCTGCGTAACCCTCAGCCTCAAGCGGAGCCACTGGTCTAGGCACTGCGTAGTGCATCTCTGTTGGTATCCGTCCACGGGTGCATTTGCCGCCGCTTATGTTCTACAATCGCATCGCGACGGAACGGCGAACCTATCAGACTCTAATCAGCTGAGCTGTTAGTGCATCTTGTTAGTCGCTGTCCAAGATTTATCGCTACACGGCCGAAGGAACAAAACCATGCAAGAACAGGGTCAGGCAAAGTCGCGCGACAGGGCTACTGGCTATGCCGTCATCAGTCGGTGGCACCCAATGAGATCGGATCAGCTAAACCTCTGCCGTCTTGGACATGAGGGCCGTTGAACGGACGAGGCTTGGATCAGCACTTAGATCGTAGCGCCTTCATCGCTTAGATCCGTTTCGCCAGTAGTCGACGGTAGCGTGAAAGAGCTACTCGTTCCCCGCGTACGTATAACATACCTTGTCCCACGGTACCGACCCTGTTAACTGCCATTACCACGCGGCGACTCACTCTCACCCAGTCTACGCGCAGTCACCTGACAATACCCTGCCCTTGACAGTAGCTTGCCCTGCCGTCGTCAAGATGGAGGTCAAGCAGCCGGAGCGCAGCCCTGCGCACCTCAGCGACGAGGAGAAGATACCCGTCGAGCACCCCGAAAATGCGCGCGCTAAAGTCGAAATCCCCATCTATAACGACGTAGAACGCGTCGACCAAACCGACTTGTCTTTCGCTGCAATTCTTAAAGGCACAGCCGCAAACCCGCTCAACACCTTTGAGAAGAAGGCCGCCCTCATCAATGTCGAGCTCGATAAATTTGGAATGGGCAGATACCAGATATGCATCTGGTTCCTCTGTGGCTTTGGATACTTCCTTGATCTCGCCTGGTCACAAGGTGTTGGTTTAATTGCTTCTGCCATCTACCAAGAGGTGAGTTAGTCCAGACACAGCGGGTACCCTGTACTAAAGCGTTTGCAGATGGGAGTTTCGGACGAACACACTGGAGATATATTTGCGATCGCTAACGCAGGACTTGCTGTCGGTGCGCTCGGCTTTGGTCTTGCTGTGGATATCATCGGACGCAAGTGGGCTTTCAACTTGACCTGTCTCATTACCTCCGTATTCGGACTCTTGCTGGTATGTTCATGAAGCCGCAGATTCGATTACCGGTAATTAACAATAAGCCAGGCCGCACCCAAGTACAACTACCCTGCGATATGCGCCATCTACTTCCTCGCGTCATTAGGCCTCGGAGGTAACATTCCTATCGATGCAACCATTGCACTCGAATTTCTACCTCATAACCGCCGCTTCCTTGTCGCGCTTCTTTCCATGTGGCAGCCCATCGGTGTCGCCATTGCCTCTTGCATTGCCTACGGCACCACCGGCCAAGCTAAATGGCGCTGCGATCCCGAAGCGCCGGCTTGTCCAGACGTCGAGCCTGGAGTTGCTTGCTGTACCGTTGACAGTAACATGGGATGGCGTTACACTGTCATAGTGCTTGGCTGTATGACCTTGGCCGTCTTTTTCCTTCGGTACTTTGTCTTCACTTTCCATGAGTCCCCGAAGTTCCTGCTTGCGCGAGGAAAGGAGCAGGAGGCCCTTGACGTCCTTCACAGGATTGCGAAATTCAACAAGCAGCCACCCCCAACGTTGACTATGGAGATGTTTGCCGCCATAGATGAGGTATCGTCCAATGCCACGTCAAGCGCACGACTTTCCACTGAAGTACCTCGAACTACTCAGGCTACCCAGGCTACCCCCGAGAAAGGCAATGGGCTTCAGCGCCTCAAGGGAATCTTCACCAAAAAGCGGAATACCACATCGAGCGCACGAAACTCCCCTCGAAGTACCAAGGATACCACCAAGAAAGTCATCAAAGGGTTCGGCAAGGAGCTTACGCGCCTCAAGGGCATTTTCACCAACAAGCTGACCGCTTTCACTTTCGTCCTGCTTGCGCTGGCATACATGGTAAGCAGCTTGACTTTCCATCACTATGTTCCCTACTAACGAAAACAGGGAGACTACTGGTCCTTTAACCTGGCGGGTACCTTCCTTCCGCTTATCCTGCTGCGCAACAACGTCGATGAAGGCCGAGGAACTGTGAGCGACACCTATGAGCAGTACTTGATTATCTATTTCCCGGGTATCATAGGTGCCATATTGGCTCTTGCGTCCATTCAGCTGCCTCTTGTGGGTCGAAAGTGGTCACTGGTCTTTTCCGCCCTTTGCCAGGGTATCTCCATGGCAATGTATACCCAGGTGTCTTCGACCGCTGCTTATGTGGGTCTGAACGCATTGGAATACATTATGCAAACCGTAAGTGAGAAAATCCGAACTTAACGTTTACGATACTGATCTGTGTTCAGTACTTTAATGCGGTCTTGTACGCGTCTGCTCCGGAGCTCTTCGACACTGTCTACCGTGGTAGTGTGAGTGGCATGCTTTCTTGTCTCGGTCGTATTGCAGGAATAGTCGCACCCTTTGCGGGTGCTCAGCTTCTGGCCGATCAGAGCTCTGGCATCCTTTGGCTAGGTGCTGGTGGTATTTGGCTATCTGCACTATTGATGTGCTTCTTGCCTGTGGAGATGAAGAACAGGCAGATGTTCTAAGGAAGTGGATCATAAAGATCCCTTAAAAGTCGGCTTTGATACACGCCATCAACCAAAATTTACTGATACCCCATGCATACGCATAATGCAATACAATTTCTTCAAACGCAGACACATGCTCGGATTCCAACTTGCCGCGCTGTACCCACACCGATCGCGTCGAAATCTGCTAAACCCTTCGTGTACTAGCGTGAGATTGATGACGTATCCTGCGCCCCTAACGCTATGATGCCGTCGGCTTTGCCTATCCGCAACACCACCTTTCGTCTTGTGTTTCCATCCTGCATCATGCAGTTTATTGCTTTTGTTGAGCTTGGCGCTCTCATACCTCCGCGCAGATGAAGATGCACTTTGACGTCTGCTCCGTTCTACTTTATCGTTGTTTCGCGCAAGGGATACCTTCGTTGGCTAGAAAGCTGGGCTCCCACATCACAATGTTGCGGCGCAGGGATCTCACAAGCCGGCGCGCTTGCCTCGGAGTAAAGAGCAGCTATCAGCGCAGCAGCGAAACCACGACATGTCGATCTAGTGCGAGCCAAGAAGACCTTACCAAGGGCGGCTGCAACTCGTATTGCATTCTACAAAAGTGTTCCATTATTTCATCTTCTTTTCAGAAGTATACATCATCTTTTGGACTGTATACTTGTTAATATCTAATAGTGTGTATGCAGCAGAACACGAGAAGCACAAGTACAATCCTATCAACACGTCTAATGGTTGAAATGCTTCCATACTAGAATCAGTACTCTTCTTGTGCTATGCTTCGAGGACCACGAACAACTATCTGGCCAGGCTCTTCCTCAAGCAGTTTGATGCCCGTCATATCGTACTTTCCAGCCCTTGAGTCAAATCGCTCATCCCAAAGATGCGCTAGCCGGAACGAGTCCAGTTTAATGAATTCGCTAGTCCTGGCTGCGGTGTCTTCAACGTGGCCCACCAAAAGCTCCTTTCTTAAAGTTGATGTACCATTTCCAAATCGTGATCTGGTAAACTCTCTAAGACTCCGAAAAGCGTCGATACGATCACGGGTGTTCCGTTTGCAGCTCAGGCACCTTGGGACCTTCCTGAGCACCAATGGGCATACATGCGGGTAAGGCTTCCGGCAAGTGTGTAGTGTCGCTATGTATACCAGGACTTCCTCTTCGACAGAATCTGCGAGGCTCGGTTGCGGAGTAAAGTCTTCAGATGTGTCTTCTTCGGTACTAGGTGCGTCTGGCTTCTCTAGAGACTTAAACGTCCAGCCTGAATTTTCGTCCCACCGGACGCCGCGGTTGTCGTCGTCCCAGTCCGACAAGGCCTCTTCTTTTTCGGCCAACTTCTCTACCGTTTCGGGCTTGTCTAGTATCAGTCCATCTGGACATTGCTGCAGAAGTCGCCATGGAAGCGCAAAGACCATGTTTGTGCTGAGTTGGTCCCACTGGCTGAAGGTAGCGTAGCCTTTTTCGATATCTTTCACAATGACAATGTAGTCGTGGGCTTTCATGTTTCGATGGATCATGGTAGACAATGTTAACCGGTTGCGTAGATGCGTGATGGTCAAGAGAGCTTCTATGTAATCATGATATAGCTTGAATAGGCCCATGGGGGTTTGCTAGAATGCGGTATGCATGAACAATGGGTTTTCACTCAGCTTGGAATGATACTGGTGACGACCGTGCGATACTCTCCGATATTCTCAACATTGTATCGGCACATCTCATGTGGTGACCTCGAAGATCTGCTATCACGTCTGACTCTCAATGACCCTGGTATGAATGGCTTTTGCGGTAAAGATGAGTTCAATGTCGTAGCCTCGCCATAAGAAAGTACTAAGCTTTCATGGCTCACATTTGACCGGCTGCACAAGACGTTGCTGCCACACACTACAATGAAGAAATTGAAAAGATGCACTGAAGTCTACGACAGAACAAAAAATGAGAGATACCAACATTTAAGCGTGGTGTAGACTTCTAGATCCTTGATTTCCATGTCGTTCTCCGCACAGGGCTGGTATGTACTTCTTTCCTCGAACAGGATAGAGCCACCAAAATGTGTCGAAAAAGTTCGCAGCCGTATTACAGGTATATAACGAGTTGTCAAAAAGCTAAAGTTCATGACGGGAATGGAGAGACACCACCCAATCTACATAGTGTACCTCATGGAGTACGCCAATTCTCTCTCAATCAGGATGGGTGAAGCAAGAGTCTTCGTGGCGTCGCAGTCTGTAACGTGAAATCTGAATTGGCTTGGTGAATGTGTGGAAAAGCATTGGCTTCCGAACGCACAAACACTCAGTGTAACCTAAATCTACTAGGCTAAGCTTCTCGTACTCACGGCTTTCTTATAGACGGACAAATCACACCCGCTCGACCTATTTCACAGCCACAGCGACACAACTTCAATTCCACGGACTTATAAGCGCCCGTTCTCACATTGTATCGCCTTAGAACTGTTCAGATCAAAGCTGACCAGATGAACAATTATGCGATGCCAGATCTAGAAGCCCCCACTGCGCCTCCGTCTCCTGAAACTCCAGCCGCCCAAGTCAAAGATCCACCACCTCCACCTAGGCGTCAACCACCACCTGTGCCTAAGAAGGCCATAAAGGCCGATAAGTCCACGTGTGGTATCTGCTATCAACGAGTAGAGCTAAAGCCCAAAGCCAAAGCAAACATCCATTTCAACAAGTGTTGGGATGGTTTGAGAGAAAAGGCAAAGGAAGCTAAGAGTCAGATTGTGAAGAATCCACTAGAGGAAAGGGAGGTTGGAGAGAGCGACGAGACCTCGTTGGAGACGCTGCAAGTCGAGAACAGCGAACTAGGTGAAAGAGAGGAACCATCCACACCGATACCATCATTCTCATCAGACCTGGAGAAAACATCCTGTCTTCTTTGCCACAAAGACCTGTGGGGTATGAACGATCTCGACGCCTTCGACCACCGCTTGATCTGCCTTAAGACACTCTCTCCAGCTCGCTGCCCTGTCTGCGAGGTCTCCTTTAAAGAGGTTTCCGAGCCAGATGACGACGTCCTCTCGTGCGAAAGTAGTGGCTGGCCAATCCATACCATAATCTGGCATCTGCACGCTTGCCAGAACGACTGCCATACTTGCCCAGAGGCACAGGCCGACTGGACAGCCTTGATTTCCCGGCGGGCTGGTCGTACCGAAGTAGCGCAGAGAGTCTTCTGGAAGAGTATAGGAGAAAGAAAAGATTGGGGTCTGCGCAAACACAGGGACAGCGTGAAGACCAAGAAGAAGTCGGGGTTAGCGCGTGAGGATGGGATATATCGGACAAAGAGCTCGCCGTTGCGTGCTTCGCAGATAATCGTTACTGCACGTGAGTCACATAGTGAGTCGGAGATCGAGGTAACGAGGGTGGAGAAAGCTATCGTAGCCGAAAAGATCCCTTTCGATCGGTTCATAAGGTCTAGCTTCTCCATAATGAAGCTCCCTCACTCCGCGAAAATGCGCACGGACTACAAACCTGAGGAAGTGCAAACGGAGGTACTGCCTCTCTTCGATTCGAAGACGTTCTGGAAACAACTTTCGTACAAAGCGCAGACGCGATTGCTACCCAAGCTTGTACCTAAGCCACTCAACGTCACCTCTCCTACCAAGAAGAAACTACCAGCTGACCGTGCGCTCGCGGAAAAGTTTCCAGTCCCCAGCAACAAAGACGAAGCGAAATCGCAGCTTCGATTGTTAAGCAATCCGCTAGAACCTCTCGCTCCGATGACTTCCGCGGCGAAATCAGAGGCGCTTCTTAAAGCACCTCAGCGGCCCACCATCCCCAAGAACAAGGATGAACTCGACGCCTTTCAAAGGAAGTTGTTAGATCTGTTGAAGCCTGTTGCAGAACAAGAAAGTGTCACGCTCCCTCGGAAGGTGTGCCAGTTTCCAGAGATCACCCTGACTTGTCCACAAGAAGAACACGACAGTCAGCCTGCATTGGCTTTATCACAGCCGCAGAGCATCAACAACGCGACTTTCAGTACCGCTACTGCAGCTCAAAAGCCCCTCAGAAGCACGTCTTCACTTCCGAACGAAAATTGGCGTAACTCACCTCCCGGCGCTCAAGAACAGTTCCGTGAATTGGTAAAATCGAATAAAGCAAGGCCATACTACGGACGGTCTGCAAATCCGCTGTCTAAGCCAGAGCCACTGCCCCATGGCACAAGGTCATCTCCGCATCCGTGGCCAGCCAGCTTTGGTGAAAGAAGATCCATGACTGCTGTGACTCTACCAGTGCATGGTAGGCCAGCGAATCCTCTTCCGGAGAGCTCGCTACAGTGGACATTTTACAACTTCCAGGAACTTGACCAGGAGATGGAGGTCGAGACTTACGTGTACGGTCGGCGTGGCGCCATTCCAGTTGACTTGAAGTCTAATATTCGTACTGTTATCGACCCTGCGCTGTCTGAGGAAGAGCAGATAGCGCGGAACCGAGAGTGCTGTAGAGGCATGTTCGGGAGCTTTGCCGAGACGAGCGAGTAGATACATAGTATGGAGTGAAACGAAGTCAGAAGACTTTGTAGAAAGTCGGTGCTCGAGGCGAGAGAGATACAAGATTGGGCCGGGTCGCTGTACGAAGCACAAGGATTAGAGTGAATCGTGGATACATGCAGGTAGAAGACTCCTGGCTCGTGTATAGACACGTGAATCTATGTATAGTTGAAGAATAACGAGCGTTTCATCATAACATCGTGACAATACTTCTGATAGCGGACGTGGAAGAAGCTACAGGCATAGCACACCCGTGATGCGGCCTTTGAACCCGGAATCTACACCTTACTCTTCTCATCGCCAACAACAAACACCTCTGTAGGCTCCACTTCAATCTCATCCGAAGAAAATGTCCTTGAGCGGCGGAAGACGGCTTCCTCGACTGTGTCATATACCATCGTGCCTTTCTTATTGACATCAGCCATATCGCGGAGCTTCCACCCGAACCTCGCGAAGCGCTCGCGAACACGGTCGTTTAGCCCTACCAGTCGGAACTGCGTTTTCTTCCCACCATACGCCTCGATATCTGCTTTCAGATCTTTCAGATGCGTAAGACCTGTTGTGTCGATATTATGCATGGCATACATGTCAAGCACGACACTGCGAATCTGAACAGGCTCTTCGAGGATCTCGGCTTTTGTGCGAAGACGCAAGGCACGGTCTTTTCCAGCGACACTCCAGTTGCGGTTTGCGTGCGCAGCCTCCAGTGTCGCCACATCACCGGAGTTGAATGTCTGGACCGCGTCGAGGCACTGCGTCTTGATGTGGTAGGCGTTGTAGAAGAGCATAGACTGGTGAATGCGGAATACTTGGGTATCGAGAGGAGTGGGATGCATACCGGGTTGGCGGCCGTGAGAAGCCACTTCGATAGACGTTATGCGGTGCACGCGGTGAAAGGCCATAAAGAGGAGGTGGTAGACGATGTTGAATCCGACGGCCGTGCCGATCCCAACCTCTGAAGAGACAAAGAGGGTGAGCCAAAAAGCTAGCATGGAGGTAGTAAAGTCGACGAGTGAGGTACGCCAATATCCGTAGAACACTTTGAGGGGGACTACAATGTGCCATACTGCCGTGACAATAATGGCTGCCAATGTGGCTTTAGGTATCCAATATAGCGCTGGCGAAAGCTTGAAGATACTGAGGATGACGACACCACCTGCAATCAAACCATAGGCTGGAGACTTGACGCCAGACTCTGAGTTGACGGCAGTTCGCGACATAGCACCACCGACCGCCATGGAGGAGAAGAAGGAATTGAAGAAGTTGGTGAAGCCGAGATAGACCAGCTCTTGTGCGGCGTCGGTGACGTAGCCATTCTTGCGACCAAAGGCTTTGGCGATAGCTAGATGCTCAAGCGCAGCTGCAATGAATGGTGCAATGCTTCGTGCGAATACCTTGCCGATAAGTGCCGAGTCTGGCATGCGAGGCGTTGCAATCCCATCAGACTTTACCTTGCTGAGTGCCCAGACAGGATCGTCATTCTCAAGGTCGATGTCTTTGTTCACTGCGTACGAGATGCCAGCGAAGAGAATGAGGACTACAGCACTACGACCAAGTGCTAGCAGCCATATGGCCTTATTCTTCTTGCCCCACCGTTGCCCCATCTTTTGCATGAGATAGAGCAGGAGAAGGCCTCCAAGACCCACTCCGCATGTCGGACCGTCGTATTGTGGTATTTTAGCGAAAAGGTCGTGAATGATGTTCGCCGTACCGGAGCCGACAGTGATGCCGAATAGCGAGGGGATTTGGCCGAGCATGATGACGATGGCAGCTGCGGAGATGAAGCCGCTCAGAACAGGCACGGAAATAAACTCTAGCAGAAATCCTAGCTTGAGCAAGCCTAGCGTCATGGAGTAGATGCCGACGGACATAGCAACAGCGGAAGCGATGGCTTGTGGTGAGTATCCGTCTTGGGCAACGTCTGCGATTATCTCCGCTGTCAAGAGACCCATGAGTGACGTAGGACCAGTAGACAGGTCTGTGAGAGTCTTAGTAAACAGGGTTGCAATGAGTAGCAACGACTTACCCTTAGATGTTCCCATGATCAGGTACAGAAAGTTAGGCAGCCAACTCGACATGAGTCCATACTGTCCGGGGATCGTCGCAATCTTCGCGTACGCCAGAGACTGAGGGATGAGCAGAACGCCAACAGTGATACCGGCTAATGTGTCGTTCAGTAGCCATCGCGGATTGTACTTCGGCAGCCATTGAATGATGGGCGCCTTCTGAAGTAGATATTGGCTTGCCACTGAAGGTGCGGCGCGGACGGCTTTCGTGCCATACCGTATCGTCCGCTGGAGGGTAGTATCAGTGGCTATCGCTTCCCGGCTCCCTTGAGCCTTCTTCCTGAGATACTCCATAGTGGGTTGGAAGATAGCAAGCAAAGACAAAGCGACAAAAGATATCTCAGAGCTAGGGCAGTGCAGCGTTGAGCAGTATAGGAGGCTTATTGGGGGTTACTCCAGGGCACGGCATATCAAAGATATACTCCGCACATCCTGGAAATCGGCGTTATCGACAACAAGGTAGCGTCATGTCGATGAAACTGGGTCTCGAAGCCACAGCGCTGTGATTGAGCCTACTGGGTGGCCGGTCAGCACACCCACTCTCAACCGCTTATCCGCGTGGAAACATGCTGGGAACGTCTAGGCGAAATCGCGTCGAGGAACTGCCAATCATGGCAACAAGACGTCAGCATGCCGGTCCCGCGATGTCCAATGAGGAAGTGAACTGCAGCTGCCATGTCTGATACCCTGCTCAAGTCTCGACCTTCCGTCTTGGAGACCGAAGTGTGGGCGAGGAGGAGTGGAGACTTCGACGTGGTTGTGATTCGGCCTTCGTTTCGTAACACACCACTGAGGCGCAAAGACGTAGTCACGCTGTCAAGACCAGCAGGGGCCGGTAAGATATTAGACAAGCGCTTGTCACACTGCCGATATGCCTAAGCAGATGCAACCCAGGTTTGAGTTGCAACTAGCATTGCCCTCGGGCCTTACTCAAGCTTCTTGGAGATAGCCGGATCGTGTGCATCTGACTTAGTGGGTTGGTAACGGCCAACTCAAACTGCGTGTCAGAGGACTCTTTGTTGAGGGAGAGAGATGTTTGGACAAAATTACCCCGCAATACACCTCATCAGCACCGAATTAGCTTCCGTCAGCCACCCCGCGCAAGGCTCGTTGAAGCCGCACACTAGCGCCTTGAATTAAGCTTTGAGTCAAGCTCCACGAATAGACGGCCAAGCATCCTTGTCGAGTATCTCCCGGACGGAGCGTGTGCCGTGTCAGTGCAGCCGACGATCGAATGCACGACGAAACGTTCGTTTACAACGACGACGATCACACCAGGCCCAGTCTGCGTAATTCGGTAGTTATCATGGTGACAAGAAGTATGGGACAATTCGTGCATCCCGCAGATGGTATGATATGAGTTGTCTGGGTTTGGGTATGACGACTGACAAATGTTACCCCTCAACCGATGGCGGCACAATCTGAACATACTGGAATACGCTGCGTCTGCCTAGGCGTTCCTTTGGTGCGCAACGCCAATGCGCCTCAGTGGCGCGCGTGGTTTGTCATCCTCGCGATATGACAACATGGAGCACTAGTCGGACGTGGCAACGATTTGACAATGGCGTCGCAATGCGTTCGTCGGAAAGACAATCCGTTTTACTCACATTGAGCATCCGCGTCAAGACCGAGACTCCGGTTTCCGATTTGTAGACAACTCATGAAACTGACACTCGGATAGCCAGATCACACCAATGCGCTACAGATATAAGTTCAGTACAGCAGATAGCTCTTGCATATCAACAATATTTCAGGAGCCTGCTCTAGGTACGCGTACATCTGCACATGCATCCCCGAGCGGGATCAGTTCCCGGAAACAATAGATGCATGCAGTGTGACCGGCGCCCTTTGACCCGATAGGGACAAGCTTCAAGTTCGTGCGAGACGTGTTTCGCTAAGCCGTTTGGGAAGGTAGAGCTCGAGGCACTCTCGCGAAGACTGTAGAGATAGTGTGTACAGCGATTGCAACGATAATGTTGCATGATGCGCGTTCGCTGCCGAAGATACGTGCACAGGACCACTAGTTGCGCATATTGAATAATGTGCGCTGATGCAGAATTCGTCATGACTGGAAAGCATGAAACATGGATGATATGCTCATGTCTTTACAGCGTTCCCCGCATTCGTTGGCTTGGCTTTTACATGAGGCGTAATCGGAGCGCTGAATTTGGAGCCAAGAGATATTTTATAGTCGAGCCATTGCTGACTCTGGGCTGGCCGTGCTTCTCATGTGGTTTTATCAAAGGCTTGATAAGGCTCCGTTCTGCATCGACTGGGGATGTAGTCGGGCACAAGACATGATGCCACTGTGTTGGTGGTGTGGGACGAGACAGCCACCATGCCAAACGACGACTCTCAGTCAGCGAATATCGCATAAAATCCGGACAAGGCGCCTTCCAGCGGTTTAGTCCCTCCAATGACGGTTATATGTCGGAAAGCCGTGATAAGTCCAGTGGGCGACATGGCAGCCTGGATCGTGTGCCGACACCAACATACTGAGTGCAGACGGTGGGATTGGCTGGTGAGGTAGGCATGTGTAGCGAAGAGGAGTTGCAGCAGTGGCTGAATACGCGGCAACACTGATTGAATTCTAGATGTCCAGCTCGAAGAAAGCCGCCGAGGGCTTTGCCTGGGAAAAGGGTGACATCATGGGAAAGTCGTCGTGGAAGGTCCTGCAAAGAACCGGTGGGGTAAAGCTAGAACAGGGCGCTGCAGGAGGCCGTTGCATGCCCCTGTCAGGCATCACGCGAAGGAAGGGCGACCCATGCCAGCCGCCTGGCGGCATGGGCAGGTGTGATAGCGCGAGGACGAGAATGCATCACTGTGTGAGAAAAGACGCGATCGAGGTAAAAGAAAGCGCGTTGTGAGGGAGGATGGATGGGACGACGCGACGAGGGAGGTGAAGGGTGCCGTGTCGGAGACAAAGACGCAAGCTCCGTCTCCGCGCTAACGCCAAGACGAAATTTATTATCGATACGGCATCATTCCAGCCAGTGCAGAGCAGACGTCCCCGGCGAGAGTTGTATATCGAAGACATTGGAACATGGCGCGCAAGAAGAAGAGCGCGCAGGCTGATGCCGCGCCCAACGGCAGCGCCTCGTCGACGCCGCCGCCCGCTCCCAACGGCGCAGCAACCGCGAAGAAGCCGGCCGGCGAGCCCTCGACGTCTGCCCTCATCATCTGCCGCAACAAGTGAGTTTGGGCGGGTACTGCCGTCGTGATGCACAGAGACAATACCCTAATGGCGGGACTACAGGCATTGGCGCTACATCTCTTCGTTCCACGGCCCCTGGCTCCAGCTGCCCCCGGAGGTCCTCGAGTCGCTCGCCCACAGCAACTACCTCTCCCCGCGCCCCCACCCGATTGACCCCGCCGTCTTCTACGACCTCGTCAAGATCCGCAAGGCCGTCGACGAGGCGACCAACCTGGCTGTGCGCGCCACGTCGGGCCTGACGTCGGCCGCCCTCAGCAACAGCCTCAATGGCAACAATAGTATGCTGGGCAATGCGGCGGCACTGGGGATAGGCTATGGGGGAGGGGGAACCTCGAAGCTGAGCAGGGAGCGGAAGCACCGCATGCGCGAGCTGGCGACGAGCAAGCTGAGTCAGGCATATCATTTGGACGAGATCGCGGCCAGTGTAGCTACCATGCAGAGCGCGAGCACGCTGGAAGACGTCGCGCACCTGGTGCTGCAGCGCGAGCCCAACAACGTCGACGCCAAGTACGTCCACTTCTTCCACGAGAAGATACCCAGCCGCATGATGGCGCAGTGTACACCTTTGCATACTTTGAATGAAATCATCAGCGAGCGACCCAACGACGGGAGCCCCCTTCGAACGCGCGCATTGACAAGAATCTTCAAGGAGGACTACGTGAACTCGGCCAAGGACCTGAGTGAGGCCCTGAGCACAGCGCGGTACATGATGGCACAGCATCGCGCGGGCAACGATCAGCTGGTGCTGGCAAAGACGCTCCAGGAACAATATGGGCGGGATTGGCGGCAGGAAGTCAAGATCCCCGACGAAGACCACCCCAATTCGCTCGAGACACAGCTGCTGTTCCATCGCGCAGGCGTATACTTCACTATAGCATGCGGCCACGTCAATGCTGCCCTCGACGGCCTACAGGCAGCCGAAGAGGCAAAGGCACGGCGCGATGCCCAAATCGCGGAAGGTAAGGAGCCAGATCCAATAACACCAGAAGAAGCGCACAGCAATCATCTTCGCCTCGAAGCCCGCAAGCAGGTCCGCCAAAACGCCAAACGCGCCCTTCGAGACTATGTCGCCTTCCTCTCACACTTCGACTACACGCCCGGTATCTCCGCTGAGCTCGCCGAAGAGTTCTTGCGCAGACTGGGCCACTCGGCGAACGGCAGCCCCAACGGCTATTCGAATGATAAGATCAAACCGAATATGAACCGCCTCATCGAGCAGACAAACGGCGCGTCATCACCCATCTCCGAAGCCCTCGTCCCTCACCGCGGCCCAACCAAATCCTCCTCTGACCGCGCATCGTGGCCCAAACTCCCTCCACCGGAGATCTTCAAAGTCTCCCAGCTCTTCGATGCTGCGCCTCCCGCCTCTCTACCCCCATATCCACCGCCTCGCAACTCGTCCGAGTCCGCAGCCTCAGCAGCGGCCACCGCCTTCGCAGACAGCCACGAGAGTATAACATACCACCCCCTCATTACAGATGCCCTGCACAGTCTCCTCCTCTGCCACGCACTCATACAAACACCCCCCAAAGAACACCTCCGCCACGCCCACAATGCCGCCCGCCTCGCCCGCGTCTGCGACGGCTACCCCATCTTCCTCGCCGCACGTTCTCCCGCACGCGCAGATTGGATCGAAGTCCTCCGTAGAGCTGGGAACTGGATCGGCCTGTCAACATCCTGGGAGAACCTCTGTCGCCCTGCACCCCTACCTGGCCACGGAGGCGGAAAGAACGGCTCCACAGACGTAGCAGGAAAGAACGGCATGAACGGGTCTGGCGGCGGCGAAACAGAAGCCCAACGACGCGAACGTCAGAAGCACGAAGCCATCCTCGAAGCCCTAGCCGACGAACGCGTCGTCGACGAAGAAAGCTTTCAGCGTGCGGTTCGCGCGCGCGAGCGCCGGAACAGAGAGGACGAGGAGGCCGAGAAGAAGAGGCAGCAATCTCCTCCTAGCGACGCAGATGGCAACCCAATGTCGCCACAACCCACCCCACCTAAGCGCTGGGCGCAAGATGACGGTCGCGAATATCCGATCAGTACGGAACGAGCGGAGGCCATCTCACGCTGGGTCCGGGATGCACCGCCAGTGGGCGAGACCAGCGGTGCGAAAAGCAAGAAGAGAACAAAGGGCAAAGGGAAGAAACCTTCCTTGAGGGCGGGCGGAACGGGCTTGAGCCTTACCGAGAGCGTGGAGACGATGAGTGTTCAAGACGAGGAGATTGATGATTAGTGCTAGATTTGGATGTTAGCGAGGCCCTTGTCTTGATAACGCGGTGGGACGGTGGACAATTCTTATCGAGAGCCATGGCCTCGGCCTGATAGAGTTGGAAGTAGACTAGCTTTCTCATTAGCGCTTGTGGATAGCAGATGAATGTCCAAAGTGTTCTGATGGTTTGGATTGTCATTCATTTCTCTGACTGAGACTATTCTACATGCGGGCCCACTGGCAGCCACTTCCTTTCCCGAAACCCTCCTTTTCCATCGTATATGAGCTCATGGCAGACTTGGGTAGCGAGTACACCCTCACTTGCTAAACCAGTCCGCCGTAAACGCCCTCTCTGATCCTCCTATAGACACGTGCTCGACGTCCGCCAGGTCCACTCCCTCCAGCTCGTCGACAATACTCTGCCAGATCTTCTCCGATTTCTCCACCGATACACTCTCTCCATCCCACCCGTACTGCAGGTCCTCTTCCGTAATCACAAAGTTATTCTTCTCGTTGTCTTCAAACACTCCGTACGGCTCCTCGGGTGCCATGTTATGGTTCAGTATGCGGTTGAGCGGCAGTTTATTGGCAGCCAACCAATACGCGCGATGGAACCGCTTGTCAGAAGCCTTCATGTTGGGAAACCACTTCTGTTTGACCGTGAGAAGATCCGCTTCCATGGATAAGCGGAGCCATTTGTGAACAGATGGCGCAACAGTCGTCCAATGGATCTCGTTATGCTCATGAGCAAACATTCCATATACGCCGATGCTGGTAGTCGTTGTGGCCGGTGGGTCATACTGGAACGGGTTCGCAGCATTGTGTAAAACTAGAAGCGACATTCTGTTTCCATTCTTGATGAAGCCTGCTGTAATATGCGCGTCCCATCTGTCGCTGTCTGAGTGGTAGATTCCTTTCTCAAACTGATCTTGTAAAAAGGACTCGGCAAATTCGAAGCCATGTCCAGGTTCAAGCTCATATAGCACGACCGGCCACTTGTACTCGTCGTAGATGCTTGTGATATCTTGGGGTATAGTCTCAGGGTGGACAATCTTGGGAGGCGGTGGTGGAGGTGCTGCGGGCGTATGCGGTTGATGTTGAGGCATGTAAACTAAGGGTCGCGCATGAACCGGTTCTTGATACTGTGGGTAGGGAGAAATATACGGTGGTGGGTGATACTGCCGCGGATCGATGTAGTGCATGGGGCCCGGTTGCGGTAGATGAGGAGTCGGGTGGTGGTTTACCACGGGGCTGCTTGTGAAGCTCTGTTGCTGCCCATGCTTTGGTTTGGGTGAACCCGGAAGAAGACGTCTAAAGCGAGGAGGTGGTGCAGGTGTAGTTGTCAAGTCGTCAATAATTGAAGCCTTGCGTTTGCGAGGCATCGATGTAGGCTCTCTGATCAGTTGGTACTGCGGCGCTGAGTCTTGAGCGGAAATTGTCTTTCTCCTCGCTACCTCGCCCTTTCTTTTGTACTCGTCCTGCTTCTTCTTGCTCTGTGCATCTACCATGCTAAGGTTGTGAGTTGGCCAATGCTGGATAGAGGGCGCTTTCTGTCAAGCTGTTAGCACGAATAGTAAGATGTCTCAACACTGCGTTGGCAAAGCATAGCACCTCATACAAGGGAAAACCTGGACAGGTCTGCAGCCTACATCAGCATGAACACCTGCAAGGTAGGTGCCCTAACGTCGATGTAGGATCCAGACCTGTTCAGATTTTCCCTAGATTGGCGTGATAGCAAGGGATACATACTGGTAGAGGGGGTAGAGCGACAGTTTGTTGTGACGGATAATCCTGGATGTTCGATACTGAGGGATGAATGTATGCTGGTGCAAATGTGCTGTAAGGCGATGTATACGGGCCTCGCAATGGTTTCGCAGGATCATGTTGGCGCACATCGTCGAGGTGGTGAAGGGGCGGCGTAGGTGGTCGTTGCCTGTTCGCCCAATGTGGTACAGGCACGTTGTACCGATGTTGCGGTTGGTGAAGGATTTCGGGCTCAGGGGAAAGAGGAGTTGAGATGAAAGTACTTGCCGCAGTTGTTTGTGGAGAGGGAGCGCCAAAGGTAGCCATCGAGTCTTTGCGCGCGGATGCAGCGTCATGCACGTCATCCAAGCTCATAGCCTGAGGCCAGCCGGAAGGCGCGCCATGTTGTGAAGGGTTCATCTGGTGTACTTGCAGCAGGTTGAATCGAGAGGCTCATATTTGGTGTTGGAAGAGGCGGGCGGGGGTTGTTGACTATTTATACTGCCGTTGCTCGTGGTGACGGTCGTATGGGAGGCAGCAGCGACCAGTGATAGAAGGCACGCTACCCCGACAACACAAGGGAGTACACCGACAGTGCAAATTCGCGACGTGTCTCCCGCCTTCACCCGACAACTGCGGATAGGGACGCGCACAAAGTGGCGGATTGACCACGTTGAGGCTGCAACGTCGCTGCCTGACTGTTCTGTTGTTGACGTAATGAGACGGATCAGGAGATTAATAGCAAACGGAGGGTTGAAAAATGGGCTGAGAGCATTGAGGTAGAGACAGATATATCAAGATGGAGTGATAAAGGAGCACCTTTATATAGAAATGCCGCAGATGGAAGCGAGATTGGTGAATGATTCAGTAATACGTTGAGGTGGGCTAACCACACTAACATTCACGGAACCCGTCTTCATCAACCACTAAAATGATCTTCTTCTCGAGGTGCCAGGCTGTCTTCGAATCAGCTGACCCAAACCAGGCTTTAGTCGGGTCAATCCGTGCCAAGCTTCGTAGGCAGAAGCAGACCCGTGGAACATAGAGCGAACTGGATGAACTCTGCATATGAAAATGTAATCTTACCCAGATCTCGCTGATGAGTCATAAAGTAACCACCATACTCCCGCCTTTTCCTGTGCTTATTCAACGCTTCCAACGCCAAAAGAATCGAGACAAAGTGCGTATACTAGCGACAAAAACAGGAGATACTGCGCCGCATGCAGCTCATGAGAGAGAGAGAGGAGGATGAGAAGCTAAACAACACGCTTTACCTGTAGACGAGATTAGTTGAGTACTGCTGGACTGGTAGTAGGATGCACGGGTGCTGGTTACCTCGAAGAACCGTTTGAGCCACCACACCTGGAAGAACCCCTGGCCGATGAGTACCATCAACTGGAAGATGCTCCACCACTTGATGCGCGCGTTCGTGCTCTCAGCAGTATTCCTGTGTACGCGCTCGCGCACGATGATGTAGCTCTGCTCGTCCTTGACCTGGGAGACGAGTTCCGACATTGTCCGCACTAGTTCTGTCAGTACTATCCTCTCCAGCTGCTCAGTGTAGTTCCTCACCCTCCTTCTCCAATGGGTCTTGGGGGGCCTCCGATTCAGGGACGTAGACAATGCCGTGCACGTTGAACGAGACCTCCTTCGTGTTCGCGCCCCAGTGCTCGTTGTTGAAGCAGTACGTGTATTTGCCGTCTTCTTTGGCGTCGAAGGAGTGGTCGCCGGAGGATACGCCGCGTTCGTGGACTTGGTAGCTTCGAGAGGGCGTCTCGATCTGTGGATAAATAGTCAGCTATGTGGTTTGGAGGCAGAATTGGAGTCTCATTGACGCACCCAGAAATCAATCTCCAAGTTTCCGCTGCCGCCAAACTCCCGGTCGCCGACTTGGAACGTGACTGTCATCTTGTCGTCCTTGTGGAGGGACTCGTGGAAGCATTCGCGCTGGTGGGCCTTCATTTGGATATTGTGCGCCGTCGCGAATGACAGCAAGCTGCTCGCCGCAGCGAGCATGGCGAGAGATGGGAACAGCATGGCGGGTGTATGGTGATGCTGCTCTGTCGTGTCGAATTCGGTGTTTCGTCGAGCGCCAAGCTACGTACACGGAGATGCCAGCTTGCCCGCAATGCAAGGGCCCAGAACGTTAGCGTTCAGATTAGTCAGCCACGGCTCCGTCTCAACTTCCTTCGAACGGCGTCCTGCTCTGTCCTACACCCCGCAATATTGTTGTTCGTTCACAGCCTTCCTGGTGAATCCTGGATGCGATGCAGCGTTCCTTCTAATATGTTAGGAATCAGTAGATGATATGACAATTTCGCGATTCGCTGTGCAGTCTGCGTGCGCTGACATCCGCTACCCTTGAGGGTCTCGCACGATTACCACAATGCGCTACTACAGAACTTCAAGGTACAGCTGAGGACCATGGAGATGACGTATCGTGATTCAGCAGCTTAGATCGCCGGTAGCCTGGATATCTACGTCAAGGAGTTGAGGCGGAAGGTAACACCCATGTATCTCTCATGAAATATCCTCTTCGTCGTCCACTTCCTTTCTTCTGTGCGCGTAAATCTTAGGATAACGTCCCTTCTTCTGATTCTGTTATCGTTCTGCCATGTACCCTTCTCTTCTGCCGTCCAAATTTAGAGGTTCTGAACAGATCTGTTTGCCGCCAAGACCATCGTCAGTCCGCTCCCACACTTGTCCCCGCAACAACAGCACGTCTTTCTTGTGCGCTCAACCCCAGCTTGCTTTATTCACTTCAATTGCCGCTCGTCTCCGCGTGGCGTTTTCGTCGTCGTCGCTTACGGACCGCGTCCTTTCTTGCGCACGGTGTCAACGCCCTCACTTCGAACTCAGCGCCTGCACCTCCAAGCTATCGGGATGACGGATGCAAATGGCGCTCCGCGTAGAGTGTCCATGGCATACATCCTAGGCTTTAGTGACAAGCCGTACAAGGAAGTAAAGCCACCCGCACCTCCGCCGCAAACTGGGAAGCCCGGCCAACCTGCTAACATAGTGACTGCCCCCATTGAATACCATGACGAATCTTTAGGCTAATTACCACCAGATGTCTACTCCTGGTCGCATCGTAGAGTGGACCGCGAGCGACGGACGAAAAGGCAGGCTCACGGGCACCGGCAAACCACGACTCACTGCAGCCAGCCTTGCGAAGGTACCTTCTGAACAGCGGTCGGCAAAGGAGCTAGCAGGCGCGAAAGGCACCCCGAAGAAACCAGCTTCGACCAAGCCCGCCGCCAATGGAGACGACCCTTGGGCTGGTAATGGGTGGGGTGACGTCAATGCAAAGAGCGAATCGAAGAAGTCGAGCTCGAAGAAGGCCTCAAGTAACAAAGGTGATGCATGGGTCGTACAGGAATCGGGCAATGACACAAGCGATCCTCTCGCAGCCACCTGGGGCACTACCCCAGATGCTACAGGTGGCGACGACAACAAAGAGAAGAAAGATGACCCCGCAGATGCTTGGAACACACCGATTGCCCCAGAGAACGACATAGCCCCACAAGATGATAGCAAGAAGGACGGCGAGTCCAATGAATGGACAAAAGAGCAAGACGAGAAGCTGATGCAGATGAAGGATGATTCAAAGATTACCTGGGCTAAGATAGTCGAAGAATTTGGTAAAGCTGAGCATGAATGCAAACGCCGCTTCAAGGATATCAAGCCGAAGGATTGGAAACCAAGTGGGGCCAAACAGGGAGGTGAAAACAAGAAGGGGAAGAAGGGGAAGAAAGCAGATCAGAACGATGGAAACAACAAGGATGATAAGAAAAAAGAAGAGAAGAAGGATGAGGAAACGGGGGATGATGGCGGTTTATTGGGTCTCACGTTTGGAGAAGATACTGGTAACAGCAAAGACGAGTCTGGTGACAAGAACAATTCTGGGGACAAAGCACCCGATGTATGGGGCGGTAATGCAGACTGGGACTTCACTGGGGGAAATGCTGCAGGTACTGGTACGAATGCTTGGGAAACCCAAGTTGGATGGGGTACTGGCGCCACTACAGGTGGCGGAGACGGCGCGAATGATGCTGGTGCGAGCTGGGATAACACCGGTGGAAACAACTGGGGTACAGGGACGAACAACAACCAGAAAACCAACACCGGCGGCGGTGCCGGAGATGCGAAAGCTTCAGCGCAGAAAGCCCCATCAAACAAAGTGCCTCCGCGAGCGCCCCCTCAGCCCAATGCTAGCGACGGCAACAACAACAACACCCGTCCCATCGCCGCTCGTCCTCTCGAACTCGAAGTAAAACCCGACGATACGTTCTCCGCCGATGACTTGCGTCTAGTCGCTCGCATCTTACAACAAGATTGCTCAATGGTATGGAATAGGGTCAGCTGGCGATTCAGGGACAAGACAGGCAGGACGCTTCATCCTGATGAGTTCGAGAAGAAGATCACTGGGCGTCTAGAGGGCAAAGGTAGCGAGACGGGTGAGCGGAGGCGGTAGGACATTGACAAGGTGATGACAGAAGGTTACGCGTGAAATGTGTCATGAAGTACACCAAGGGTTGGAAGAGGAGTCAAATGAGCTCATATGTAATACTATAACTATAGCCAGCTGGGTTTCTAGTTCGCATCTTCTGGCTGTATAGTGTTCGATGCACTAGTGCGCCCGATGTGGTAGTTAGATACACTTTGAACGAGTCAACACAGTTATGAAACGTGGGTCAACGAACTCGTCATGGCATGTTATAAGCTAGATGACTGAGCCGTGCATGCTCAATGAGCATATTCTGGCGTAGCTCAAGCATCATGGATGAGACAGAACGAATGACTGTCCTCCGCGTTTCAGGTCGATCCTCGAGCATCTCCACTACCATCGGAGGTTGCACTCGCTCCTAGGCAGTGGCACTGTCCCTCCGAAGACACGTGTGCTTGAACTCCTTCTCCAGCCCAGGCATGTTCAGGCGATCGACACCCCAGCCGCAAGCCTGACTCTCACAGTGCAATACCAGCGAACTCAGATGACCAAAGACCTTTCCACATCCCTCGTCGCGACACACAAAAGGGTGAAGGTCGCCAGCTGCCGACCAACGCTGTACCTCGCGGATATCGACGCGGCCTATGCGAATGGACGCATGCATATCGAGATCCATGTAAAGCGCCGAGTACCACCACTTTCCGAGACAGCACGTAAGAAGTGCCGGGTCGTTGAAGTTGGGGCACTTGCCTGACTCCAAGTGATTGATGAGACTGGAGTAGGTGCGCATCGGTGCGTCGCAGGCCCAACAGCCAATGTCAGCGGACCTATGCTTAGTCATGTGCTGGTGTGTTGTCAGCGTGGCAGTCGCGAGTCAGTCGCGTGGCAGATCACTCACAATGTGGTAGTTGCCCTCGTGGTGTGTGTGGAAGCCACATTCCTCGCAAAGGAAACAGTTCTCGAGGTGAATACCCAGTTGGGTCTTTCCAGCACAGTGCTCGCCGCATTGGGGGCAGGCAAGTGCGAATGCACAGCTCTCGTAGTGTTGCGTAAGCTTGGTAAAGCTCGGTAGTATGCGCTTGCAGCCTTCGCACTGGAAGTGATCACACTTGAGATGCCGTGCAAGCGTGGACTGGTCCGGCCCATCGAAGTCGCAACCTGGTTGTAAGCAATGCTTATGTCCTTACCTTGGTCAGTCAAGTCCTCAAGGTGAAGTAATCGTTGAACAAGAGAATGAACGCTCTGACCAGGCAAAAAGACACGAGCTCGCAACTTAGAATCTCTCAGACCACTTACTGTTCGTCTGTTCCCAATGTGCATCCCGTTCATCCTGATTGCGAAATCGGCGCTGGCATGTTCCGCACCACGTATGCTTCGCAGCGGTTTGAAGATGTCGCTCCAACTCAGCGCGAGTGTTGAAGCCGAGCAGGCAAGTAAGACACACCCACTCATGGCCGACGCTGTAGTTATTCTCGAAGTGGTTCTTGAGAGCCCAGTCATCCTTGAAAGCGGAGAGACAAAGGTTGCAATGAACTTCATGGTTCGCTGCATTGTCGACGTGGTTCTTGAGACCATTGCGGTCCACGAAGACGCGCTTGCAGAGGTTGCAATAGTTTTCGTGTCCGACGCTCTGCTTAATGTGACTGAGCAGTGCAGCTTTGTTGGCGAACTTGTACGAGCAGACGCCACACCAGTTCTCGTGTGGATCGTATGCTTTTTCGGGTGTGTTGTCCGTTGAGCCCGAGACGATGCGATCTTGCCCTTGCTGGGCGCGTGGGCGGTTGAGGATAGCCTTGGTGCGATCATTCAGCACCTGCGGAGAGCGTCGAACCGGTGGTGCCGGCTGTACTGCAGGAGCGCCGCGCTTCTTGACCTCTTGCCATGGCATCGAGTCATCGGCAATCTGGTTGAGGAATGGGTTTTGAGAATGGTCAATAGCGGGACTGCGGACGGGAGTTTCGCTGCTGTCTGCACTAGCGAACATCGCATAGCGGTTGCTGCCAGGCGCGGCCATTGCCAGTCCGCTGCAGCGAGGGGAGGACGGGGTCGGTGTTTACAACAATTTAGTATCGGTACAGCTGATTGTGCTGATAGAGGTGATTGTGCTAGCACGTACAGCCAATAGCAAGCAGCCTGCCCTGAAGGCAGCAAGCGCCTTATCACGTGACAGCGCGGTAACAAACGGATGGAGACATGAACACACACGGATGCGCGCATAAGCGGCACCAAAGATCGATCGAACGTCTACTCGCGTTGAAGGTATCTTCGATGTACAGGAATGACCATGCAACTGATAACATTGAACAAGATGACACGATGGCGGAGACGAGGAGACGGTGAGCGTGGAGGTAATGGCGCGATGGATGTACACCTCATTGAAAGCGAACGCGATGTAGAGAATGCAGGACGAATCGATAAGTAAGCATGTACGTGCCGAATGGGCTTAGAAAGGTCGCGAAGCATATTGTCGCGAATGGACGGCGTGAGATGGTCGAAGCTGGGGTCCGGAAGACACGTTAAGTGAAAGCGAGACATGGAACTATATATCCATTCAGCGATGTCTCGATGAGACTAGAGTAGGGCAGTCAGACTGAAAGGAATGATGTCAGGAGGAAAGACGTGTTTGAATTGAAGGAGGTTGGGTGAATGACGCCACTAAAGTTAGTGTGTCACGTCGCTCACGCGCTCGGTTCCGAAGTTCGCCCGCCCAGACTTCGTATCTGTCACACCCACCGAATTCAATCACCTACACCATCAGCGCCATCAGCGCCATCAGCGCCATCTCGGAAACTCTGCCCCGCGAAGAAAAGCGAATGTTCGGTTACACTGCGACTGGAATATGTGACGAGGCCCCTTAGCTGCTTGCCCGAACAACGCGTCAGTCCTTGGCCAGAGCAGCACTACTGCAGAATTCATCGGACGCGTGCTTACTCCAACACTCTACCTTCAACAACGAACGAGCAGTCTGCTCCTTCCAGGGATCTCTGCTGCGCATCGTTTCAATGGTTCTGTCGCCCGTGTTATCGAACAAGCGATCTTATTATCATCTCGTTCCACTATGGCGGCTCGAGCCTCAAGCATGGCCACGAGAACTAGAGTCCTATCTCATTTTATCAATGCCTTTCCGGAAACTTCCCGACTCTAGGTGGGGGTTACTCACATGAGAAGGTTTGCTTTGCGAGCTCGGAATCTTGAAACATTAGAGTTTGTTCGTTGCGATGAACTCAATACAATATGGCCTCGCTGACAAAAGGCTGCTACATCTTACTCACGACATACATTGAACTCTGTCGTCCAGTCTGGAACGGTGCATTTCACTTGGAGCTTTCTTCGTTTGCTACTGCACTCTACAATGCGTCCGACTTTTAGTATAAGGATATGGATCCGGTACATTCACTACGGCGGCTTTACTATTGATTTTTCACACATGCTACATACCAGAGCTCGGCCTGCAGCTACGCCCTACATGCCTTCTTCGATCCGCTTCTCAGCCAGCTTTCTTCACTAACATCGTGGCGATTCAACCGGGTGAAAGCTATCCAGCGTCACTCACACGCGCCAAAGATTATGTCACACGACGTGGAGGGAAAGCGATGTGCCCCACAAGATGTACCTGCTTCCTGTATAACTACGGGCGCGGACTACACCCCCCGGTGATCTCTCACTCCCCGCACAACCATCCGGCTCTACTTCTTTGGCTGGCCTTCTTGTCCTGCACGGAAGAACCACCCAGTTTCATCCAAGTACGTTAGTTTGGAGAAGTGCTAAACAATACCTGTATAGCAAACCGGTACCGAAAACCGTTCTTGCACTTTTACGAGACACTAATCACCATCATAAGACTTGCTTCGTATAAGATGCATTGCATCGATAGGAGGATTCACCAGCGTTCACAAAAGACTAATCGCTTTGTCGCCTTTGAGCCTCGCTGTATCAATCATGCGTGGGATACGGAAAACAGTAGGCCGAAAGATCTCACAATTGATCAGCTGTGCCGTGCGCAAGCGCTTGCCGATGGTTCAAACTATCAACACCCAGATGAAGACATCATTGAGCGGATGCGCGCGAGAAATGATGTCCCTAGCACCCAGGAAGCAAACAGCCCCGAGCACCTCGAGCCCCCTTTACCTTTAACGCCGATAAGTTTGCACTCAGATGTTCTCGCCCGCAGTCTGCCTGTACCAGCCACTGACCCACCTAAGGCGGCTCCTGTCATCTCACAAACACATCCATGCGCGAAACTCTCGCCAGAAGATCATATCTGGGAAGAGAAAGCATGTAAAGGCATCGCTCACAAGGGGCTGAGCTTGGACAAAGTGTGGGATAAAAAGACTTGGAAGCAGAAAGCCAACAACATCGAACGATTGAAGTTGCTAAAGGACGATGGGTACGACATCAAATCTCTACAGGCCCCAAAGACATCCGCAGATGCAATAATCGAGGCTCTACTGGCTCACGTCAAAGTACGGAAGGAGAAGAATCTGGATCTTGCAGCTTCTACAGTACTACAGTCAACTCCCAGTGTGGAGGTATCAGAAGTACCAGAAGTGCCAGAAGTGCCAGAAGTATCAGAAGTAAGGAAAGAAGATAGCTACAACCCCACTCTAGCGAAGGATGACGACACATCGAATACGGAGCCCGAGGCAACTGCAGACCATGTTCCATCGGGCGTCGCACCCCAAGGCGTTCCGGGGTTGGCCGACGTTGAACCAGAATCGCACTCATATATTCCACCCCCCGTTGCAGGCCTGAAACGCAAGCATACCCACGAGGATGAAAACCAGCCTGATTGGCACCAAGACAACCCACAAAAGGAACTTCACGAAGCCTACAACACAGCAAACTCCAACACTCTCATCGATTCGCCGTGCACCTGCAGAAACGCTAAAATGGCGCGAATGATGACGAGGGAAGATTTTGCCAACGCCTTCGCACAGCAAGCTGCGTTCATATACAGTCAAAAGATTGGTCGTGACATCTTCCGCTACACTAGAGAGATGAGAAGGATATTTCAGGACCCAATGTCGAAAGAATCCTTCGACATTTGTATGGCGTCGTGGAGACCCTCACGGATCATTTTCCAGTCGCCACCATCGGCCGCTCGTCAGTTCTGCGAGCCGCATGTGTATATCAGCGCGCAAGGTATCAAGCTGATGATGTGGGAGCTTTCGCACATCGCTTACGATCCTCATGAAGATGGTACCTGGTGCATCGCAGATCCCGACGAAATTGAAGATCGAAAGGGCGATGGATTGATGGAAGCATGCAATCCAGTAAAGGACGAATTTCGATATAAGATCCGCATTTTCGAAACTCCAACTTTCCCTATGATTATGGAAGGAGAGACCATGGCACTGGTTGGACTACTGAGACGTCTTCGTAAGAGCGGTATCAGCTACTACCACAAAGGACAGTATGATCCGCAACGGATGGAGGTGGTCCCGTATGACAATGAAACCAGGCAGCTAAGTGATGCCACCCAGTCTGCTTTAGAGGAGGCGGCAAAGATATTAGAGGCAGGACAAGCCCTTGGTGGCATCGATGTTCATATTGGGTTTCTGGATAACTCGGACTACCTAGATGATTTGTTCTAGGTGAAGAGCGCACGAAGTAGTGCATTCACTGTGACCTGTCTGTAGCTCTACCAATTGTTTGATAAGAGGAACATATGACGATACGGTAGTGAATGCGACTCGCGGCCCGTGCTCACCAACACTCCAAGCTCTGCACCAAACACTGCCCTCGTTGCCTTGATGCTGCCTGTGTGCACCCCCACTCTCTAGCCACTTCTACGGCGAGGTCGCAGTCGTGAAAACATTCGATCATTTGCTCACTCTCATACTCCTACCGCGACCGCAATTTCGAACCCCAGCTACACCCACAATGCCTGTACGCACCCGCAAGATCGGCGTCAACGACAAGGACAAAACCGCTCTCGCATTTGCCGACGATGACTTCCGCCGTCATTGGGTCTCCGGCCAGGTGGGAGGCGGACGCAACACCGATTCAAGAGTCGCATTCAACCAACAAGACAACGGGTTCAAGCACCTAAAGCTTACTGTCGCAACGCTGGTCGACGTTAAAACCAACGAAGCACCTGACTTTGCCAATTTCGGTCCCGAAGAAGAGGCGAAATACCACGGGATGCTGCGCAGCAAGCTCAGCCTTGCCAAGGACTACATACTCAAGGAACAGGATCTGTCTCTCGACCCTGACCGATTCGGTGCGCGCCACGAGCCGACGTCACTAGCCCTCGCCGCACCGCCTATCATGATTGACCTATACTCTCAGCACATGATCCGGCTCCTCCTCGATATCTCAGCAGAACTTCGCCAAGTGAGCGCGACAACTCCGGAAGACGAGGTTGAGACCGTGCTAGAGGGGCCGATGAGAGATTACTTGGAGTTCTGGGAGAGGTTACAGAACAGTCTATCATGGCAGCTTCCCGGAGAGGATAACGAGGCTAGGATGGGCGAGGCGGACAGGGCTATGAATGAGGTGTTGGAGAAGTTGGTTGAGCCTTAGCATGTGGGCACATAAGGCAGCTTGGCAAGTCAACGGGGGAGGAATTTACGTGAGGCATGCTTGCAAGAAGATCAGTTGACAACACTGATAAAGGTTATGGAACTCTCGAGCAGTGGGAACGTCTTTGAACGCCGTTTCCAGGACCATATATCCCTTGTACTGCTAATGCAAAGATGAACAACACTGAGCTCGAAACATTTCTGCAGGGCACGCAACGACTCAGAAGCATGTTCGCAGACATCTAAGCAGTAGCAAAAGTCAATTGTCCAGTGCCTACCCAAAGCTTGTCACCATCCAGCCTTTGGCTTGCAAGTACTATCAAGCGAACAGCTGGTTTGCCGCCTGCTTGAATGCTTTCGGTATTTAGTTGCTCGATGTCGACACTAACTTTGCAAGTCCATCTTCAGCACTCTGTGTCGGCCCAGTGAGGTAGTCAACGGGGGCAATGAATATGTTTTCCGTTGTCTGGGGGGCACACGCTGCATATGTCGTCACTGATGCGATTGACTCTTTCTCCCGGCATTTCACGCGCTAGATCCCAGGCTGCTCTCCTTTACCAATATATAAACATTGCTTTCTGCTCCAAAAGACCATCGTGGCGAAGCTCAACTCGACTCCTCGATTGATAGACATTATATCGAAACGCAAAAATTGTGTGATCTGTATCAGGGTCGTCAGATAGTAGTCCTCGAGTTACTACTTCCCCATCTCCGAATATATAGAGGTATGTAAAGCCTCAAATGATTCTGTAACCTAGATTGACTGTCAAAGCCCCAAGCCGCGAGCACTCAATATGGCTTCGACTACCACAACATTTCCCAACACTCTTGAGGGTGTCAAGGCTTTCTGCAAGGGTCGCAAAGCTCTTGACCTCGTCCGCAGCTTTAGCACTACTCCAATCCCAGGCGCACCGGCAAAGTGGGACGATACGCTGGGAGTTTGTCTAGACCTCGAATGGTACAACCAACCTCCCGACAAGCCAATGGAGATAATCAACGAGGGCGGTCTCGTCGTCTTCCCGATGAAGAAGCTTCGTAGCTGCAAGAACCCAAGCGATTTCGAGGATCTCATTCGAAACTTCGCGGTACATCACCTACGCATCGTGGAGACGTGTCACATGCGGAACAAGGGGAAAGACAAGTTTGGTATTCCTTTCGGTGATACTGAGCTGAACCCAAGGTTTTGTCAAACGCGTTTCGTCACGAAATCTGAGGCCCAAGCAGTCCTGATCCAGTTCCTCGACAACCAGCGCTGCGATGATGGATCCAAGCGGCCAGTGATCTTCTTTGGTCAAGGCCTGAACAATGATGAGCGCCAGCTGAAGGAGCAATGGAACCTTAACACGGCTAAGCTTGACAGCATTGTTCTTACGATCCGATCGCTTGGAGCACTAGCGAGCCACGCCGGTATCGTCGCTGTCCCAGACAAAGAACGCGGTGAGAGCTTGCCGAGGTTCGTCGAGCTTCTTCGTGGGTTCCAAATCGATACAAGCAACATATGGCTACACAACAGCTCAAACGATGCGGTGTATGAGACGACACTGTTCTTTCTCGTTGTCCTTTTCCCAGTATTGTATCCGGGCACGCCTTGCAATCAGTTCCCACCGGACTGCACCATAGCCAGCCGTTCCATCAATGACATATGGACCGGTCTTGCTGAGGAGAAGAAAGTCATCCCACCGCAAACGTGGGGCACTGCTCAGTTCTGCTGGTACTGCGACAAGGCAGACGTGCATGACGCCGACGCGTGCCCTGTAAAGGAGACGATCGAGTGCGACATTTGCGCGAAAGCTCCTGGTCCTGAGAACAAGCGCTTCCGCAGCAAGCAATATCGCTTTGGCCATCAGACTAGTCGGTGTACCCATCAGTTCAGGCACTACATCCCACCCCTGCCTGCATTTATTACCGACAACCTCGACCACGAAGAGCAGCGTGCTGTCTCGCGAGCCAAGGCTAGTGACGATGTTGCGGTCGGTGGGCGGATTCTGTTCGACAAGCTTCTGGCACCTGGGTACCCAGGCAAGATTGGCGATCGTGAGTTGGATGCCGAGGACGAGCGTCGCGCTGAGGAGGACAAGATGCTGTGGAGCTTGAGCGATCCTGAAGACGAAGAATTCGCTCTAGATGACGAGTAGTACGGCATTTGACGCGTGTCAATCGAATCGACCGTGAGAGCACATTCGATCGCAGGCTTGGGGCTTATGGACGAGAGGAGGAACGTTTGCTTCTGTACAGCTGTTTTGTTGTAGTATTAGTAGTCAGCCATGATAAGGTGTATAACATCTGTTCCAAAGTCTGTTATCGAGCTCGATCCTTTCCCATGCTTGCTGTGTTGGAGAGAGTGAGCCCTGAACCGCTCTGGCTGCCACCCCTGGTAGGACGCTGCATGGCCAGTTGGTCGAGCATTAGGCGCTTCATGCTACCGATACTGATCGTAGCCTTTGAACAAGACGTGTAGTTTGGGACGAGGAGTGTGCACTGGAGACAGCTGTTGAAATCGTGGCTGGGTGGTGGTGTTACGAGCCGTTGATTGCGACGCGTCGCAAAGTTTCGCCGAAGCGATGACGTCACCCTCCCGATACGATCTTCTCACGTGACCCCAGCCATCTCCGGACTTCCAAGGTTTGCCGCTTCGTTTCCTGTGGCAAGCGCCAAAGCACTCCCGCTCGCAGCACTAGCTTCCGAGAGCACAATTTATTACATGTCTAGCAGACTAACACTATCGGACTGTCGTCGCAGCCTTCCTAAAGTCGACCATTTCTCAACAGATCATCTACATTGACAAACGTGTCGTTGACAATACCCTCCACCTGCTTTCCGAGTTCACTATCAGTATCAACACTTACGCTCTTCATCATCTCTCGCCACAGCTCAGTCCTTTGTATATAGTAGACTTCTTTTAGGCACGCCAAGTAGTGTTTGCTGTCACGGTCGATCTCTCCGCACTGCTGGTGGTAAGAGCGAAGTTCGTGTTGATGGTGCAAGACCGTGCAGACCAGCATTTGGGCTTTTTCTGAGATCATGGGCTTCGAAAAACAGTCCAAAATGATCTTGACATCTGTGAGAGGTGTCCCGTCAAGCTCAAACCCGGGTGTGCTGCAGAGCTCTGGGTAAGGGTTGACAAATGCATTTGTATCATCTACTCCCGCTTGTGGACTGCCGTGCTGTGAGGTTTCTGCGTCGTCAATAGCAGATTTCTTGATCATGACAAGGTGTGAATGGAGGCTCCTTAAAATGAACAGAAGTTGGCGTTTCGACATCGGTTTGGGCTCTTTCGCTGGAGCTGTGTGTATACGGAGGATATCTTTCTTTTTGGTGGAGCTGATGGATCGCGGCTTTCGCTCATAGTCATCACCTATGATTGGTGTTCCTTCGATAAGTCCTTGATCAATGCGCTTATTGCGACAGGCGACCAAAGCCTGGGCGAAGTCCATTGCCGTGAAGTCTTTCCAAGGCGCATTGCCATATACACTGACGTCTTCGCCCGCCCTTTGTAGTGCTCTAAACATGTTGCCCTTGTTAGATCTTCCTACCCATGACCTGGCCGTCCAAGGAGCATCAGGGTCTGTGCCTCGCTTTCTTGATGCAGTTGGGGTTATGGCAGGAGATCTGGATTTCGAAGGGTGAGAGAGATTCAGAGATGGATTAGACCTGTGGGCCTTTCCTTGACTTCCGGATGGTGCATACGCTAGCACATCTTGATTAGTGCTCGACATGACCAGACCAAAAATTTGGAGATCTAGACACTGGTTCAGCAGAATGCTTAGGGTTGAGAGAAGAGTAGATCAGCACAACGTCTGGTAAGGAATAGTTAGCATATAAAGTGACCAATTATAGTCACGAACCTTTTTTCCCACTGGCCTTGATCATTCGCGAGACCCCCGTCAGCAAAAGTACCAGTAACCACCAGGTCTCAGTCACAGATTGTTGTGTTCTTTCACTGTGCTTATTTTAGAGCACACGAGACGTTCAAGAATGGCTCTTTCTACGAAACATAACGCCTCGCGTGATAACGGCCTCTCTTTCACTATATCGAGACATGATATCTCTCATCCATATCTAACCTCTCCAGCGCCTTCCCTAAACCAGTCATCGCTAGCCAGTCCTTCTTCCGCAGTCGCATAGTTTATGATCGTACTCTTCGATGTTGTGTAAGCATTGTAAGCATCGATGCCGTTCTCACTGCCCACTCCCGAGCTCTTGATGCCGCCCCACGGGGAGCTTGGGTCGTTGCGATGATGCGTGTTAACCCAGCAGATGCCACTCTCGATGCTTTCCGACACGCGGAAGGCTTGCGAAAGATCTTGCGTCCAGATAGCAGCGCCCAGACCGAATTCGCTGTCGTTCGCAAGCTCCAAGGCCTCTTCTTCCGTGTCAAAGCCTACGACGATGATGACAGGACCAAAGGCCTCTTCTTTCCATATGCGCGTATCGACAATCTTCTTTGTGGTACTATCCGTCAGTATTGTTGGTGGATAGAAGTAGCCTTTCGAGAAGTCGGTATCGTCCAGTGAAGATTTGTGAGTCATTCGTTGGCCACCTGTGACAACCGTCACACCTGCATCCTTTGCGTCGTTGACTAGTGTCTCAACGTTGCTGAGCTGTTTCGCCGATATGAGGGGACCCATCATAGACTCCACATTCTTCGGTGAGCCCATCCGCCTCTCGATGCTCTGCACCTTGGCTTTCAGCTTCTCCACTACCTGATCGATGATGTTGTTCTGCACGATGATACGCGTCGCTGCCACACATGTCTGGCCACTAGCTATGAAGCTTGCGAACACAATGCCGTTAACTGCAAAATCCATGTGCGCTTTTTCAAACACGATCAGCGGAGCCTTGCCACCAAGTTCGGCGGTGTAATGTGCCAGGTTGCGTCCTGCGATGGCGCCAATGGCGCGTCCTGCTGGTGTGCCGCCAGTAACATCGACTTTCTTGATGAGCAGATGCTCCACAAGAGCCTTTCCGGTCGTGATGCCGTCGCCTGGCAACACTGAAAAAACGCCGTCGGGCAAGCCGGCCTCTTTCAGAAGCTTGCCAAGCTCAATGCTGGTGAGCGGCGTCAGCTCGCTTGGTTTCAGCACAATGGAGTTGCCCGCGGCTAATGCGGGTGCAATCTTCTTGACAGCAATCAACATTGGGTGGTTGAACGGCGTAATCTGCGCGACTACACCGAGCGGCTTCCGGTCAACCCAATTGTGTAGTTTACCGACGGTTGGCAGGACAGAGCGCTCTTCGGTTCGTATCAACGCGGCGTAATATTTGAACCATTTCGTAAGAGTCGGAACTTGGGCATTCATCTCACGAATAGCGCGTCCGGTCTGCTGTACTTCCAGCGCGATAAGCCTTGGAAGATTCTTGGTCAGGAGTTCTGCAATTCGGTCCAGCGTCTCCGCACGCACATGGCGCGGGGCTCTCGACCACACGCCCGATTTGAAGACTTTGTGTGCAATTTGAACAACATCTTCGACATCAGACGCAGATGCAGCATGGCAGTGCGCGAAGATCTCCCCAGTCGCGGGGTCTTCAACGGCGAGCCTGTGATGCTGTTAGCAATTGGGGTGGGTCACGAATGAGGGGTCCCGCTAACTGACTGCTCCGCTCGACCTTCCACCTCTCTTCCTTCCACCCACATCTTGTATGCGTTCCCCATATTGGTCATAATACACGTCGTAAGTAGCAATGTGTGCTGCAAGAGTTTGGAGATGGCTGGGAAGTTGAGGTGAGTGAGTCCTTGGTAGCGGAGGTGGCCGACGAAGAGTGGACCTCACGATAAGTTAGCGGCGGCTAGAGACGTTTCGGCATCCAGAGTACCTTCCAGATTAACGACATGCTGGATGTAGTATTAAGCAGTATCGGGGTTCATTTTAGAGGGATTCAACATCATCGATTATGATTATAATACAATAATTTGGGTATCTTTTCCGATTTCGCCATTCTCAGTTGACCACCATATTATAACAACGCCTGAAGAGACCCTAGGAGTACAAAGCGGAGCCAAATGACAATTCTACTATTTCAGATGTGGCGCGAGGCCCGAAATTGAGAGAAGTAATCATCGCCACCGGAAGCAGAAACAAAGGAACTTTCATTTTGTCCTGATCAACCTGGATTTCATGTTAATCCAAGCACATGTCTTCCCTTCTCGTTACCCCTCCCACAGTCCAAGTCCCTCTTCACTTCACCCTCAGCTCCATGTGTCTGCAGAAGCTCAATCAACATGCTTCTCTCCTTGCCTTCAAGTCTCACCGCTTTGAGGGCAGACTGTAGTGGTGTACGTCCATTCTTCGCCTCGAAGTTCACGTCCACACCAGCTTCAACAAGGTACTTTGCTATCGCAGACGCACCAGGCGTCCTGCAAGCAAGATGAAGGGGCGTTTCTCCATCGTGATCAGGGTTGTCGATCGAGTGACCCAAGGAAGCAAGGTAACGGACGGTGGCGAGCTGCCGTCCCAATGTAGCGGCATGCATTGCGGAGTAATACGATGATGGTGCCGGATTGACCCGAGTAATGTCAGCACCAAAATCCAAGAGAAGGGTGAGAATGTCTGGTGACATTTCGTACGCTACTCGAATGAAGAAGTATCCGAACTCTGGGTGCGTCGCCATAGGGTTTGCGCCTTCCCATATCACCCTCTCTACTTCGGCAGCTGTCGCTTCTGCTGGTATATTTGCCAGAATTCGATCCACCGCCGCCCTTTGGTTTGGCTCCAGCTCTTTTCGTTTTCCCTTCGTCACAGCTATCCGATCCGAGGTGATCTTCCTATGAAAAATGGAGACGTCTGAGCTGGACAGCGTTGATGTGTATTTTGATGCTTGTTTTGATGCGTGTCTAGACGCAAGTTGCAACCGAGTACTCGCCTTCCCTGAGAGATCAGTACACCAGCTGTATGACTTCTTGAGTCGGGATTCCGGTGGTACCAGGGTAGGGCTGGATGCCGCGCCGTCGTCAGTGTAGAATGTACCGCGCGATGGGGTGATGTCTTCCCGGGATGGCGGTATCAAAAGTCGCCTGGGAACAGATGTTTGTTCAAGTGCGGAATAAGAGAGAGTCTGCGCGTCTTCAAAGGATGGAACGTTGGCGAGCCATGTACCAATGCCGCCGTCGTTAGCGCTGTTTCGTGTTGAAGCTTGT